AGCGAGGCACAAGGGGGCTAATTCGAAGTACAAAAGTGGCGCCTCACCGGAACCGAGGGATAAACCACCATTGTATTACAGGATGATGAGTGAGCGAAAAGCGGTAGTTCTATATCGGCTGTGTTCCAGTGCAGCATCTTTCTTTAATTTGCCCGGTAAGCTGTGAGTCTTGGGAGCGAATCTTGATAGGACTTGCCTAAGAAGGAATTAAAATTCGAAGCAGCACCTACAACTTCGCTACAATACAAGGCTATTAACTTACTTTATGCAAGTACAATAAATGCCTCGAGTGAGGTTTCTGGTCAGTTATATCAAAAAAAATTAGGACCCAACTGGATTTTGCTGTAAAATGGCTGGCTAAATGCGCAGTGGCGGACAACTCCCAAGCTTAGCAAAAAGGATTGGGTGCGGTAGAGGAGACAAATATCCACGGATCTACTTGCTATCGGGAATGAAAATGGGCGGTAGAAACATGCTACGCGTTCTTGCAAAGGCAGCTATGTTAAGTGCCCTAAAAATGGTTTGAAGTAAATCTAGGTATTAGTTTATACTGCTAATACGCGCGATGCCCTTTGCTCCAGTTAACCTTTTGGTAAGTATTTAATTAGCAACATTTTTTTAACAAGTGTGTTCTAATTAAACTTTATGTATAGTAGTTTTTAAAAAAATGGAGGAGGAACCATGAGAAGCCTGGATTTATACCAATTGGATTATTTGGGCATGATATTATAAGTTCCACCAAAAAATTATACCCATATATTGTAACTCTGAAATTGTGAAAGTACCTTGCACTCGCAAATTATGTGTGCTTACATGTAATGATTTTAAAGAAAATCTTATGGCTTACACACATTGTTTTAATGCTCGGCTGTCATTGTTGCCATTTGAAGTACTAAGGTGGACGAATAGAACACCAAGAGATTGCTGTTTTTGTAAGGTCCCATAATCCATTTTATTTTTTGTGTTTCTTTTTATCTGCTGCATATCTAAGCTTTAGTGAGCCAGTTTTGTGAGCTTTTTGGTCTATGAGCTCCTTTAATTATTTTGGGCCTACAATTGTAGTGTTTTTCCGTTATTTAACTTTTTAATCACCACAAAAGGATCGTATGGTGTCATTTAATGCGTTTGCCTTTGCTGTGCTAATTGAAAGCGTTTGTTGCGGATGAAAGGAATATATTTAGGCACAAATGTGTCCATCTTCGTTGCAAAATAGCTAGAGAGGCTTTGAGTGAGGCAAATTTCCAAATAGACAGGCGGGCCCTTCGAAGCATGTTGGTACGCAGAAGGCATGGCGTTCGTCCGTCATCTGTCTCCAACTTCTCCATCTCTGCCTCCTCCTCTTCTTCCGACGAAGCAGATACGCCATTGCCTCACCGGCCTCAGCGTGCACCACCCAGGCTACGCCGACCCTCTCGTCTTCCTAGCACTCTTTTGGTGTTTGCTATGGCAGTTTTCGGTGGCCTGATCCATTGCAGTCATGTGGCCAGCTTGCATGAGAACCACCTCTCTTTCGCCTACTTGTCGAACATCGAGCGCGAGCTGACCTTCCGATCTGAGATGGCCTTCTACTACTCTTTCTACAAGCAGGTCCATTTCATTCCTCATTTCTCCTGCTTTTGGAGGAATATAGGGCTAGTTTCGTCCTACCTCCTGTCAGGCCTGTCACTTTTCTGCTCCCATTATTTTTTCCGCTGCTTGTTTTTCCAGCCCTCCATTCATCTCTACATTCAGTGGTAATTCATACATTCATCCTTTTATCTCTTCATCCTATCTTCACCCATCCTGTTCCCATTCACCTCTCTGTTCTATCCACCTTTGCAGGCATATCCTTATCATTCCTTTCTCCCGACGTTCGGTGTAATTTCTCGTTCTGCCATCGTTTTATCCAACCTTCTGTCCAGTCATTTGTGTTTTTGTCCTTTTTATATTCGACAAATTACTCTCTCGCAAATAAGATCACCGCCTTATCAATCTGATTCACATTCAGTGCGTTCCTCTCGCACACCTTGGCATCCGTTTAGTCAATTACACCTGGGTGTCTTATTTTCCCCGCGTACAGTAATTCTTGATTCAAACTTCGTCGTTTTATGATCCACGGATGTGCCCTTACCCTCTCGATCCATCTTAGTTAATGCAATCAACATGCGTAGAAGTTGATTCAAGCTCAGATTTTGACAGATTCATTATTACCACTACTTGTCCTATTGGTGTTCTAGAAGCATAGTCCACTCATTTATCGACAAGCAATGCACGGCAGACTTGCAGCGGTTGTCTGTTTTTCCCCTTAACTAGATACTTATGGCTGAGAGCTTTTACAGTGGACTGGATAGCCTTTTCAACGACACGATGACAGAATATCCCGGCATGTTGGGTAAGGTGGATAAGGAATGGAAGATGAATGAATGGGGGTTGCTTCCAGGCTACTCAGCATCTGGAGCGGTGACGAACGGTGTCCGAGTGTTGGAGCGATTCAACGTCTACCCGGAGGTGATTTTAGCCGGTCTCTATCGCGTTCTTCGCTACTTTGATCTCCTCCACTCGGAGTGTTTTGAGGTGGTTATTGAGGGTGTGAGTTTACGCTCTGTTTGGCTTTTTACCTACTCTTCTGCCCAAGATTTATCGACGATTAGTGCGTCTTTCTATACGCATACGGTTTTTATATCCACCCATCTGCTTATCAGTCTTTAGTGAATCCACTCATTCAGCTCGGATCCACCCGTTCATGCTACATGCATTCATCTTCCCATCTATCATTTCTTCTCACGTGGATACACACATTCGTGCATCTTGTATCTGTCTATCCCTCTATGTATACGACATTCACACATCCCTTTATCCGTCCATCTTCCTATATATCTATCTCTATCCTTCTATTATTTCACTTCGCTATCTATTCATCCACCTTCTTAGTCGCCTAATTATTCGCCCCCCTGCTATTCATACATTCAGCCGTCCATCTGTTTACTAGTTCTGTCGTCTGTTTACTCATTAATTGCCGATTTTGCGCATTCTTTGCCGAGTCTCCCTATACACCGATTCACTTAATTTTAGTCCAGTTGTCCATTCGACCTCAGTCATGGCCACTTTACACGCTCATCTACCCTCCAGTTATCCCCTCTTTTGACCTAGTCTGAGATCTTATCTGTTCTCCCATCTATCGCAATATCTGTCGATCTATTCTGTTCAATCATCTTTTTGCCTCTTAAAATATCCGTTTAATCAGTTGTCAACTGCTTCCACTTTCACATCTCATTCCGTCCATTCCCCGCCTCTTACGCATGTTTGATTATGTTCCTACTGGTTTTTCGAGTATTTATCCACTTATTCATTCATCTCGCTTTTTGTAATCTCAATCCAAGATCTACCTTCTGCCTGATACACTGTTTCCCCATCTACTCAACAATTTCTTCGTCCAACCATTTAATTCTCTTCCACTTTTCTATCCGTAAATCACGATTTCCCACTTTTTTCAACTCGACTGAGGTAATCAGCATTCATGCCTCTTTGTCTGCCTGTTGATCCCACCACTTTATTGTTGCTTTTCATCTACAGATAAGAAAAACCCACGCTCTCGCCGTGCCAGCCAAACAGATCAACGTGAATTCGAGTTTCTTGCCACCACTCGAGGCCATAGGAACTTTCGCCGGGGATAAGGTGTTGAGTTGCGAGGGTTCTCATGAACCGCCCATCTTCTACGTGAACAGCGTCTTCTGTCTCACTGGTCTCACTGTCATGGGATTAATCCTTTCTGGCTGGCAGGTGGCCAATAGCGGCAGTGGAGGCGGCTGTGGCGGTGGCAGCGTCTTCTCATTGGCCACCACGATTTGGGGTGCTGTGTTGCCATTGGTGGGCTTCTTCTTCAACCACGCGGAGGCCACACGAGTGCAGTGGTCGCCTCCGCTGAGGGAATCCTTTGCATATCCCTTTTTTGTACTCCAGCAATCTCTCCTCATTTGGCTGTTGCAGGTTAGTGTTCTCGGATCTGTTCGTTTATTTATGCATGAGTTGGGGTGTCGTTATCACCCATGGGTGAAGATGGCCACGAAATTCACGCGTACATTATACCTAATTTTTTTTAAAAGACTTTACAATTTCATTTCCCTTGATCAAGTTAAACAACTGCAAAATGCCTCTTAGATTCCTTAATTCGTTGGGCCTTCTTTCGACCAAAAACCTTCTTGGACCAGTTATGATCTTTGGAATTTCAGTTTTGTTTCTGAAAATGGGTTTTGTTTTCAGAAGTAAAAAAACTAGTGTAACCTTTCGGAAACGCAGCGGTACATTACAAATGTGGGTAGAAGGGTGTTGCACCGTTCGGAGACGATCCATTAGGCTTCCATTCCGTCTACGAACACTGGAATGCAGAAGCCACTTCCCATGGTAAGGCAATAAGCAATCAAAAGCACACGTGGAACAGTAAATTGGTTTGCAATGCATCTTCTAGTCATCTGTCAAGGGCTTGTCCTACTGGACGTGGACTTGGACATCGCGCACATTGTAATCGCAACATTCATCCAATTTAATCAACGTTTTACTAGCGTTTGAAATAACAGAAAAGTTATGCGGAGTAGCATAATGGGTACCACCCTGACAAAATAACGCATATCTGTCCTGTACAATTCTTCCAGGTAGAAAGGCACACTCATCTAACGAGTTGCAACAAGTCATTCTGTGAAGCTCCACTTAAGCTAGGCAATTTGGTGCCTTCATGCAGATAAGCCGCAAATTTGCGTGCGATTCGCGTCGAATAATAAATCAGCGCAGCTGTGCAGATACCGGCTTGAAGCACGTTCGAACGTAGTGTTGCCTGGTGGTGGATGTTGAATGATTGGTTCTTGGTGCCCTTCTGGTAGTCGATCTTTACGAAGTGGTGATTAGTTTTGGGTGGTCTGAAAACAATTAGAGTGGAGGAATTTGCGGGTTGTGTCAACCAAATTGGCGAAAGTAAAGTTTGATTTAAATTATCACTACACCCATGCTAGAAGGCTTTTTTTAGGCGAAGGTGTCTCCTGTAAGATCTTAAAAGCCCAACATATGTACTTCCAAAAGGCATTTCCTGACTAATCCATCCCCACCATGTTGTACGGTTAAAAAAGCGCCTTTTATCTTTTTAATGTAAGTAAGGCAGTCTGAAATTTTGACCGTACAAAGCGGGTTTGATTTGACCTAGGTGTTACCCCCTTCCAAATTAAAGGCGAAACCGTTCCCTTTTAGTGACCATTTCTCCGAATCTCCAAAGCTTGTTTAATGTTGGCCAATCGTGTTCTTATTTTCGCCTCATGTGCAGGACATTTCGCCTGTTCGTCGACAGCACCGCCACGCCTTCGTTCACCTCCTCTACGTCTTCCTCCTCCTCGCCTTCCAACTTCCCTGGCAATTCGCTCAATTCGCCTTACTCACACAACTCCTAGCTCTCATTGCTACCTACGTGGTTGTCGCCTTGGTGACGTTCCTTTCAGTCTTTCCTCCATCAACCCCCTCCACTGTCTCTGTCAATGTCAGCTTTGGGGTACTCAGTGGCCTCGCCCGATGTCTGCTGGATGTGTTGGGATGTCAACTGGTTGCGCTAGTTATCTCGTGGGCTGCGCAGTTGGGAAATCGGTTGCTGCTCACTTCTGCGTATCTACCTTGTCTCGTCGGTTGTCTCTTTGGTGCGTGATGCAGTCGATTATTTCCCTTTACTGTAGCCTGTGATAGCTCTCTTATAGTTATCGGACAGTGTTACTTTGTTATCATCATCTAGCCCTTTTACATCGCTACCCCTACCTGCCTCACGATGGATCATCGAAATTTTAAGGTGTGGCTAATCTATTTCCCCGTCTTTTTTAACAGGTTTGTTCGTCCACTGGAGCCTGTTAAACCGACGAAAATGGACGAATTCGAGGGCCAACCGATGTGGTAAGTAATTGGTCCATCTTCTCTCCAAGCCCATATCGTTATCTCTGATCCACCGATTTGTCATCTGGGAACCATCCATCGCATTCACGGCCATCTATACATCTACGCGTTGTTGAAAATGATTTGGCAAAGTCCATAATTCCATTTATTTGATCTCATTACTTCTGAAGCCAAAGCATTGTCCTTCTCGATCGTATTTGGCGACCCCTTCGATATGAATTGGCCTTTCAGAGGTCGTCGACATGCAAGGGGCTGTAGGGGGGCGGGGGAGGGTACCATCCGAAGCGAAAGTGAGGACCGAGTGCTTGTTTTATGATAACATTGCAAATCAGGCTTTATGCAAGTCTTAGTCTTCACGAGTCAAGAGAAAAACCTGGTTCACGCTGCCTCTGTTTTTATCTCACTTTTGTTTCCTGTCTGACTTTTCCACTTTCCATCCGACCACGTGATTGCCTAACGCCGAAAAAGGGTGACCATCATCACTGGGTGAGAAATATGAGGGCAATATGGAGGACGCGATAGTATGAAGTAGTGAAGTCATGTGAAAAGAGGACTTTCTTCCGACTATTTCTCGATTTATGCATTGCCTACCCAGTCGTACCGAGGTGCATCAAGTGGATCAGTCTCAGCCTTAAATGTTGACTTGTTAACAAGTGACCAGTTGCGTGGACACTGCAGCACGCATTAGCGGGTGCAGCGTTTTGTGAAGGAAGTGTAGCAGAAATGTATGGAGGGTAAGTGACAAATGGTTAGTTTGCAGGTACTTAATGCTCATGTTCACTCGCGTAACGAATAGTCAATTTAGGATGCAGCCTTTGTAGTCTATTTGTAGCAGATTTTACGTCAAAAATACTTGTACTCTCGTTCACTTAGTTACAGTCGACATCTACCCTGTATCATCGAGTGATCGACCGAACTTGATCACTTGATGCGCCACCAGGGATTGAAGGTGCCCTCTGTTGGATTAAGTGTTGAATGTAGCCTCTGTCCTTCGTCGTAGTCTACTCGCAGTAGACTACTGGTGTACAGTTGCCTCTCTATCCATCCCTTGAGTCGTGCTGCATCTGTTCTACTCAGAAATCTTGATGAGGAACTCGTCTTCTTATTTCTCATTTACCCACTTTTCTCGATCTATTTGTCCCGAACTTACTTCCCCGTCCTCGATCCATTTGGAATTCACCTCTCCATTCATGCATGCAGCGTTATTTCCATTCACTCGCCATTCCTGACTCATGCATCCATCCAGAAATCCATCTCTCTTCCTCCTCTCTCCACAGTCCACCTATTAATTAATTTTACAATAGATTAAACCGATGAGGTGCCATTACATGAAGACTTCCCCTCCCTCTTTACTGTAGCGCATCTCCTCGTTTTGGTGGTGAGTTGTCTCGTGGCGGCGTTGGTCGCGCGCTTATTGCTACGGCAGCTGGTGGTCGATTTCTCCGACGGTGCTCACATTGTGGATCTGGTGAAGGTGAAACTCCTCCGTGGCAACCGCACTTTCCACACCCAACTTTATACCTGCTCGGAGACGTTCGACTTTCTTCCGGTGAGACTAGGTGCTGCTGTTTGATAACCGGTCTTTTTTTGCCTTTAAACCAATATGTTCCTTTCCTTGGATTCTTTCCACGCATACCTGATCCATTCACTTATTTGAGATCCGTCCGCCTCTTCCATCTTGACCCATCCAAGCATCCTTCACTCCATCTATCTCGTATCTGTTCATTCACCCATCTTTTTTAGCTTGCTGCTCTTCATTCATATCCAGTTTAACTGCCCTTGTCCTCTTCCTTCGTTCTCACTTAGCCCCCTCCCCTTCTTGACTTCCTTCCCTCTTCTTTTCTACCGATTTTTGATAATTCTGGAGTTGTTCAAACTCCCACGCGTTTATTCACACGATAGCTGAGGAACGCAACCTGCTGGAAGTACATCGTCTCTTTGCGGTCGACGAAATCTCTCTCGCTTTTACTGGACCTCTGAAGTATGCTCTGTTAATTAGGTCAAGCAGGTTGACTTGGTGGTGCGATCTTAGCTTTGTTCACGGCACAGTCAAATCTTTGTGTACTTCCATCGCATTTCGTGGCAATTGTATTCCGCACCTCTGTGTAGGCTCTAGCTGAAGCTACATCGGTTTCCTCAAAGTGGGAGAAGGAAGTGTGTGTACTTGCTGAAGTACTGTCAGAATGTTTCAAGGAATGTTAACACCTCCGTGTACCACAACATTGATGCGTAACTTCAAAAGGAAATCGTCCTTCTTACAGACTTCTGAGTAGGGGCTAGGGGGAGAACTTTTCGTCCTACCACCACAAAGTCATCAGAAATGTAGTAAGGTTTTGTTTTTTTTCCACTAACTGATTTAAAGACGAAAATTGTACCTTCAAATGGATGCTTGACAATTCTGCTTTGACAGCATCTTTATCTCCGATAACCAAGTAAATTCATCCAGCTCATTTTTATAACGAAAAAAAAAAAAAAACTCGACTGGATGAAGCCCTTTTGCGTGTTTTACGCATTCAATGCGTCGCCACCTCAAGCTATGGCACATCCACGTGCCTTTCTCCACGAGACGCAGGCTGATATGCAACTTTTTTAATGCCGAAAAGCCGGAATTGGGGCTTTTGCCAGGGCCACCACTGTTCCTACTTCACCTCCATTTCCCGACCTATTCAATTTCCCACTTCACCACTCAATTGTCCATTGTCAAGATAAATTGAGAAATACAAAGTCGTCATTTGTTTTTTTCTCCCCCTATATCGGTTCATAATTTTTTTTTGAATGGTGATTGGTCCGAATTTATGACTCTTGATTGGTCAGAAGTTGTTGTGATGAGGTTAAGTAAACGAATGGCGACTTGGGAGTTTTCTTTGCCATCTCATTTGACTAACGATTGTGAAAGCTGGATAGGAGTCGAGTGTTCCCTTTATTATCTTTTTCTTAAATAGAACGCCCCAATTTCAGGTTCAACTGCTTTATTCGCCCCCTTTTTCAAGATAGAAATTGGGACTTCATTCATTCGGATGTCAGTATCACATGGGATCGCATAATTGCATCGAAAATTGTCAGCCACTTTCAAAGATCCTCTTGATGCTCCTCTGCAGATGTCCACTTTGTTGGAGTTGACACGGACCGGTTTGTTGCCGTGCGCGGCGTTAGCAGTTCTTGTGACTATTCGACAACTTCTTCTGCCCTGTCGATCGGACCATACCATCTCCACCTCCGCTTCCTCCACTGCATCCAAGGCAGCAGCAACAACGACAGCGCCGACAAAGAAGTTGGATGGACGATCAGTAGTGGAGGATGACAGTGAAGCTAGCGATGGCGAGGCTGGCGCATCCACAGTTTCATTCAAATCTCGGTGCCTGCAGGAGCAAATCCTCTTGGCTCGAGCAACACCCGGCTTCATTTCTGACGTTATCTCCGTCTTTGTCATCATGCAGGTTGGCTGGAATTTTCGTATGCAAGTCAAAAGTTAACCCTCACTGATGTGTCATAAGTTGCCATCGTTCCCAGCTTTTCGCATTTGGGGTACTAGCGGTGCTGGTGATGCGGTTGAAGCTCTTTTTTACGCCACAACTCTGCCTCGCACTGGCAATTCTCGCCCAGCCGCGTCTCTACTTTGGTTCGCAAAAAATCCTCCCCCAAATTATGTCCATCAATCAGAGGGAGACGAGGAAAAGGCGTAGGTGTGCTTACCACCCCACCGCTGCTGCATTTGCTCCGTCGTGGAGAAAACTGCTAGTCCTTCACACCATCTTTATCCTAGCGGTGGTTTTTGCTGCACAGAGGGGAATGCACAACCTCCGAGTGAGTACTGGCCTCCACTGAATAGTGGTAACCTATTCTGTTAGTTTTTTTTATCAATTTACCTGTCTTCTGATGTTATCTTCGTCGTGTGTAGCTAATTCTTGTGTAATTTTTGTTTCCCTTGATACTTGAATTGTCACATTGATTATTCTCGAGTATTTTCTCCGTGTTTTTGTGCTCTACTTATTTCAATTAAGTAAAAGATATTCATGCAGAATTTGGGTACGAATTTCAAATGTATTGTGTGCTTTTGTGTGTGGATCGGTTATGCTCCAAACAAGAATAATTAAGGAACTTATGCTTTGCAAAAGGGGCTAGCAAAACCCCTATGGTGTGCGTGAAAATTCCCGTCTGTAATCGAGAGCTAGGATTCACGGGTGGTCATCATTCCTGCGTACTTATTTCATGTCGAGTGGTCTTGCATATAAGCTGATTGATCTCGACTAATCGGGATGAATTCAATCCAGAGCCTGAATTGGAAAATGTTCTGGGAAGTTTGAAAATTTAGGCACCGAAAGAGGAAGGTTGTATTCGGAATTGAAGCTTCCATAGCGTCAAAATGAGAACGATTCTCTGATTTGCAGAGAATCTGAAGAGGATTTCCGTGGTGCGGTTGTAATCTGCAGTCTCCGCGCCTGCCTTGCGTGTAGTCTTATTTCACGTATTCAGGAATGTAACAGCGGTCAGCGCTGATGGCGTTATTCTAAAGATGAAACGTAGTTTGTCAAAAGGAAGAGACATTAAATTTGCTATTTTGGGAGTTTTATTCTGTGAGTGCTCGCTTCGACTTTTTTGTCCAGTAAGGGTGCCCTTCGTGAGGATTTAAAACTCGGGTTTTGAAAAGGTAAATCAAGAGTCCGGCTATATTCTACCCCTACCAAGTAATCATTTAGGTCTAAGTTGATTTATACTTAGTGATAAATTGTGATCTAAAGCATTTTTCATTAGAATATTTGGGGTATCTGCCACTTTGTCGCAAAAGGCTGCAAACTGTGTGAGACCAGTAAAACGTCAGGAGCGAAGAGAGGGATATGCATCATTCCCTTCGGATGTATGGCTTTTCGAAAAGCGTTGTCACGAAGCGAGATGCGTATGCAGAGCGCACTGACTTAGTAGTATCGTCCGGTCTTCAGTGCTACCTCCCAAATCAAGTCCCTTAACTCAGGTGGATTGAACAAAACGCTTCTCGAAGGCAACGGCACTAACGTGATGTATCGGAATGATAACTCATTAAGCGGTCATATTTGATTGGTTTCTCCTCATTACATTCAAGTAATGTTAACCCAATCTGACACCTCCTACTTAAAAACTTCATCAGTAGTAATGGCAATGCAAAAGTGCAAATTACTTTTTTCATAGGAGGAGTGGAGCAAGCGAGGTCAATTCTCCGACTTTACCATGGAGACACTGCTTCATTGGGCAGCCCAACTGCCGCCTCCACCACCAGCGCCGCATCCAGATGTATGGGTTTTCAGCGGTGCCATGCCGACCATGGCAACGTTGCGCCTCGGACTCGTCGTACCCTCCCTCCCGTCGTCGAATCTGTCGGCAATCAGCACGCCGAGTGGTCAGCGTGCGCGCTTTGCAGTCACCAACCATCCCCACTACGAGAACGCCGCGATTCGTTGGCGCACTGAGCTCGCCTACGCAGTGTGCAGTCGCAAACCGGTGGAGGCGGTGTGGCGCATTTACCGGCACGTTTTAAAGGTGATTTGGTCATTTTCACGCCTCAATAAAGTGCTACTGAAATGGTTGTGAGTAGCTTTGTTGGTCAATTCATGTGGGAAAATTGTGTTGTAGCAAATTTCGTAATCGCGAATTTTTCGGTACCTTGATTGGTAAGTTTTGGTATTTATTGCATTCTTGTTTCAGTAACTCTCACAATTTGTTTGTGACTCTGTGGTACCAAATGAAATGTCGCCTCTTTTTTACGGTTAGAGATCGGTTGAGCTTTTTAGGTTATCTATGAAGCATCCATTCATAAGTTCCAAGTTGATTCAGCATCTAATAGCCGAGTTAATCAAAATCTTTCAAGTGCCTTTGGATCTCTCCGCTTGCCACCTCTACTACCAATCTAACAGTACTTTCATGCGATCGTAGTGCCACGTTTCCAGGAGTAACGTAGGTGATGAGTGCCATTGAAAGCCCTCGATATAGTGCGTTTCTGCTTAATTCTTTTGAGTAAAAGATTTCTTTTCTGCTCCCCGCCTATAGGTTGATTTCGTTGTGATGGAGCGTGATTGGTGCCTCAGCCCCGGAGCGAAGCCGGGCTGTTCCTCAGTGGAGTTGTGGGACCTCCTTGATCCCACACTGGCTGGTCCCGGTGCCCCAGGTCCACTATGTAAAGCTGCTTTCGAGGAAGCGCCTCTACCGGAGTCAATTTCACGTTTTTTTAGCCCCGTATTCAGGTCGATTGACCGTACCTTGGTTGTGTGGCGTGTGGCTCCTTAACTTGCATTTGTTTTTGTTGGTCGTTTTCAATGGTATATTATTATTTTACTTGTAATATTGTCTTAGGTGTTGTTGCTTTTACTAATTAGTGGCGTAGAGGGGCCTCGTGGGTACAAGCGTACTCTTGCAATCATCTTGCGATTCTTTACCTCATATATTTCCATTTCCCTCTATTCTTGCCTCTTTCATCAACCCCCACATCCGTAGACGTACGCTTCTCTTCCACCTGTTCTCTCGTCCGTCTACTTTTTGTTCGAATTCGTTTCCCTTTCATGTGCCTGTGCATTTCTGCTTTACCGATCCGTCCACGTCCAATCGATCAGTCAGTTGTCAGTCCATTCATTCTCTCGTCCATCTAAATGTAACTCCATTCTTTCGGCTATTCTCTCACTCATTAATTATTCCTTTTGCCATTCTGGTGTGTTCCGTCAGTCAACTTTAGTCTGGAGTTAAACTCTTCCTTCATCCTCCAAACTCTCCATTCAAGTAGTCATTATTGCACCAACCCTTTTGGGAGCCTAGTCATTCATCCCTCTAGGTATTCGCTCACTTATTCGTTCCCAACTTTACCCGATTACCGTGTAATCCATCTATTGATGTGATTGAGTCCCTCACTTTTTACCTCTCTTTTATCCACTCCTTAGCCCGTTCTTTTGTTCATTCTCACATCAGAACGCTCATCTATCTGTCAACACCTTAATATATTCAATTGGTCGTCAACCCTTATTTAATGCATCTCTTCCATCCATCTTTGGGCCCACTTATTTATCCGCTTCTCTAACATCCATCTTTGGCTACTTGGTTGTCCACCGGTCCGTTCTCGGTTCACTCATTCACCAAGCCGCTTATCTATGCAAATAGGTTCTGTCCAGCATTCATTTGCTTTGGATCTATTAATTCCAACTTATCTATCCTACCAGCCATTTTTGTCATATTCATCATTCTGTCCATCCAAACTTCCACTAGTGCATTTCTGGTTCATTCATTCCCTCGATCATTCGTCGAACTATTCACCTCCTCAGTTGCCCGTTCTGGAGTGCCTCATTCCTTCGTTCATTCGTCCAATCGGCTGCCTATCCATTTTTCCATGCCTGATCCTTCGTCGGAAATGCACAATGTTAGAAGATATATTAAATTTGGCGCTTAGGCTAACGATAATGAATGCGTGGTTTGGGTTCATACAATGCTCGTTTTGTGAGTGAATGACGAGTCAAAACTACACGAGTGTGTGGGCTCCTCCATTGTCGCGGCGTCCTCGCTTGTGTCCGTTGGCATTTGGTTGTCGCCAGTCTCTGGGGTTTGTACTTCATTGGCTTTAACCTCCAAATTTGTTGTCCACCTACGATATTTAGCCCGGGCGTTTTGAAACCAAACCTGTAATATTTGGCATAGTGATATGCAAATGGTTAAAGTCTAAATACTTTTCTATAAATAGTTTAATTACTTTAATTTATCTTAAAAACCCTATTGTCTAGCATAGGATGCCAAAACAGGAACACTTAAGTCATAAGGAAGCGGAACTTGATGCACTGATTAGGAGTAAAAAACAAGTGTGCAACAGTAATAGACAAAAAGGCATAAAATAACTTATGTTTTGGTAATATTTTCACTAAATATCCCAATGCAACATCTGACCTGAAGGACGCGTTTTGATAGGCTGGTTTGAGCTGATAGGTGTCGTAGCTCTTTTGAGTCGGGATTTTGATTCATCCTAAAGTAGGCTTTCATCAGACGAAGTTGATCGTGCTTAAAGGAGGTTCGAATCCGTTTCTGAGAATTATCTGAAGCGATGGAAGCATTGGAGATGGGGCGGTTTTTTGCCTTTCCCTGAATCTCTCCACCGGTGACTGTAAAGCAGTAAGGATGGTTTGTAATTGATCCACGTTGGTTACGCAGGAATTAATGAAGTCGTTTCCTTATTAGAAAACACGAGTGTACAAGGCGGCAGAGATCTGTCTCGTCATTATCGCACGTTTCAGATGTAATGTGGAAACATTGCACACTATTTCCTGACTTTTACCTTCAGTAGAAGAGGAGGATGACGAGGTGGTGAAGTTTGAAGTCATCTGAAAAAAGGCAGGGCGACTTCGTGTTTTCCGCGGCTTTAGATGGTGGCAGGTGAGACAGGAGACGCCATGACGTCCACCGTTTTCCACGAAACATCGGTCACCAATTTGAAAAGTCGCTTCGCATGTTCGACATCGAAGACATTCAACGTGGAAGGACAAACCCATTTGAAAGGAAATGACGAGATCGCCTTCGCAAAAACGTCGGTCACAGGTGGGACATGTAGTACAACTGTAATGGCCAATGAGAAATGTGTATAGTCCGATGACCTTGGCGTGCACCTATCAGGTTTAAAGCCTCCAAATCATGCCTTCACATAGGAGATAGTAAAGTCTACGTTCTTTTCGAACTCATATAAATACCAAGGGCTTTTTTACGTAATCTTGATTCCAACGATGTGAAGTTATCGAGTTCTACTGAGGTGTGCCGTGTTGAGGAGATAGATTGCATTCCTAAGAGGTGGAAACTATACGGCTTCTTCCTCGGTCCACGGCGAACACGCACACACCAACGTACATTCATCCGGGCATGAAGTGGTTCATCTCCAAGAAGTATGGGCTGGGTAATGAGGGCAGTCAATGATATCTCCTTTCACTTAGCACTTCGCATCGTAAATGTCGGATCTCATTACAAGTTAGGCAAGTCTGCACACGCCTCAAAATACAAGATGCGTTTGATAATGCACGTAAAATACGTGAAAAATACCAAGTTGGTCAACCCTGATGCCTATTCATTTCGATTGTTAGCACATGAAAACGGGGTGGGGTTCATTTGCGCAGCCTCCCTCACTACTTCCCCTCTTCAGTTTATGGGGACATAAGCGAACTTTTTCATCATTCGGGTTACGTCTAACGTTAGTAAAGGTTGTTCTAGCCAGCCAATAAGTGCAATTAGGTCAGTCCTGCACTAATCTCCAAGGATGAAGGATTCTCCTCGAAATCAAGCATCATCGTCTACTGGTTCGTCACGGAGCGTCTGTTCTTTTTCGAATTTGAGGAAATGGGCTTGCAGCTCCTCAGTAAGGTTCATCTCTCCTTGCAATGCAGGCGGGCTTCAACGGATATTTCAGGAAATAAAGGCTCAAAATAACAGGAATATAGTGTAAAACACATTGAGAATTAACACACTACTCGCTAAATGTAGATATGTGCATTTGATAGGTCCTTATGGGCCAAAATAAGTCATTGTTGCAAATTATGCTGACATCAGCACAAACTTCTGTAATCTAGCAACTAAGAGGTAGCTTTAGATGCACGAATCAATTTACTGAGTTGAAATAATTCTTTGGAAAAAGATAGGGATAAAGGGTGACGTTATTGCATCTTTCCCTTATCAGCTCACTTTGCATAATCCTGCCAACAGAGCAGACGCCCTTTGTGATGAAAACACGATGTTTGCCACTGGAGATCGCAACCGCAAAGCGCGCATCGCAAACATGTCGCGTGCCAAAATTGGCCATCGGCTAGGAGGTAATGCCGCTCTATGATTGGTTTGCTGCAGTTAGCGCAGACGATGTTTATTGGCTGGTCGGGATATTCGTAAGTGGCCTCATAGGGACTGACAACCAAATCCCCTATCTAGTTTTTGGGGAGTAAGATGGAAAAATATTACTATTTATTTGTCAGCTAAATTGTATTTTAACCGGTTTTTATCGATAACGTGCCTTTTTGATGTAGTAAGTATTCGAAATACCACCATTTTATACAATTAAAACTTCGTTGAGATGTAAATTTACCCTATAATCCACGTTTTTGTCCTGCAATTTTGCTTAAAAAGAGGAAGGACCTTCGTTTGTAAATTATTCATGTCGAAAGGAGGCACAAATTTGATGAAATTACAATATTTCCCTTTCATAGACTTGAAAACCGTCATTTATTCCTGCTTTCTACACCCGTTAAAGCGGTTTATCGTTCCGTCCTTTTTTGTTCCTGATTCGCCCATTTTAATAAGGTATGTTCGTGAAATGATCAGTAGTCGATCGACCAATCAACTGTCGTTCAGCTGGTCATTTAAAAGCCGCCAGGTGAATTTGAATGTCAATCTCTGTAGGGAGCATTTCCACGTGGGGAGAAGGGATGGGTAAGATGGGGGGAGAGGGGGAGGAGGGAAAGCATGAACTGCACCATTCTGCCGCCCTCATGCCCCCCACAGTGCCTATGTTGACTTAACCTCAATGACTTTGGACTGTAGAAGTCAAAGGCACGACGACACTGCGGCGCTTGAAGAGAATTAACTTCAGATGTCTATTCACTGGATCCATCTCTAATGATGACGTCCATACGAGAGCAACTGTCAAAAAATTGCTCAAAATACATACACAACTATTGATTGAAAGGGATAGAGGGGAAGAATCCTAAGGGTCTCGCCTTCGTTTTAACAACTTTAAAGGCTTGTATCTGCTATACTCACGAATCATTTATTTAGTTACTTAATTGTTCAATGTTTGAAACCTTACATCAAATGATTGTAGCGCATGCTTTAGGCAATAATATATAGCGAAATTATACGTAGTTAGATGGGGTACGAGAGTACGCGGACCCTCATCCTTTGTTCCCACTGCGACCTCTATCCCAGTAAAGTGGAACTCTGCTGCCACATCCTTTAGCTTCCCTGTGGTGGCGATTAGACCGCTATCTCTCAAGTCTTATTTATGTTTAATTGTAACTTTAAGGGTAGCTTGGGTGCTATAAATAAATTTGATAATTTGCCGAAGAAAAGGGAATTAAAAACAGTGAAAAGATACTTCTCTGTTTGCTACAGTTTCAAATAACTATCTCTTGACGCAGAGTTACTAAATAGCGTTAAAAAGAGGGCTAAAATACTAAATTTACTGTCCAAAAATGATACCATGTAGCATTATTTACTTGTGATCCTGCCAAAAAAGTGGGTCGAAAAATTGAGCAATTTTGCAAAAGTTTCAAGAAATCTAAAAGGAAATCCTATAATAAATTGTTTTTGAAGGAAATTTTTGGCAGATTACAACTCAGGGCCGTGAAGTCTACCAAAAACCTGAGGAGAAGAAACGAAATATATACTGCTAAGCTACAAAAATCATCAATTAAAACCGACATTTTCTAGGAAAAATAAATTTTAAATCTGACAGAAGTAGACGAGGCCAAAACTTCTCCGAACCATAATGAAAAAGAAATTCTGACAAAAGGCTTCTAAAATACCGCTTTGAACTACGTACAGTCATTTAAAAAAAGACAGATAAAAAGAGTAGACCCTTGCCAATTCTGCACTTAAATTAATCACAAAGTCAGCATGTGAAACTTGTCACCAACTCACGTGCTTTGAAGTATCTGGAATGTGACACTCATCCACGGAAAGAAATCCCTCCTCTAGAGCGTGCGAGCATTCCATGAAGCTATACAACTGGCGAAAATAATTTAATGCAGGCGCCATAGTGACGGGACGGGACTAACTGGTGCCCAAGAGGTCCGCATGGTGGTTCGATAGCGCTTCCACTGCTGATTGGATTGAGCCAACCAATGGAAAGCTCGTGCGTCCGTCCCCTGTGTCTTGATTGGCTGATAGAGTAAAAGGGATGACGAGGCATCAGTCAAATCTTTCAAAGCAGATTTTAAGCATTTTACATAAAAAATTAATAAGTTAGTTATTTTGAACTATTAATAGCGAAACATTCACATTACATCATAGCTATTTAAGTTTCCAATGGGTCACTTTACAAATGGAAAAGGAATTAAAAATAGGATAAAATGGAACCGTTACCATTCATGCGATTGGAAGGCAATATTCATTTATTCTTACCAATCCTTTGTTCCTAATAATATGTTAGGTCCAATCTATTTACTTGAAAAGCAAAATACGGCCTTTTTGACTTATTAATTTATTTTATATTCCATGATATTAGGAAATAATGTACCTCTTTATAAAATTTTAAACCAAACAGGTTAAATGCTGCGCATTTTTAATCAGAACTCGAGTTTAAAAGCAGAACTAAAATAAGCAAACATAGTTTTTATTGTGAGATAATCCATAGCATCAACATTTTATCGGTCTCTGAGGAAGTTTTGTATAAATTCCTTTTGTTCAGCCTCAACATTTTCCAAAGATTGAAGTTGCAATCGAAGTCTGCAAGAAGAAGCAAGTTAAGGGGAGTGAACCAATCCGGTAGCAGCCCCAAGGTTACCAGCTGGTATTAGAGAAACAGAATCGATGTTTGAGATTAGCTTGCACCTAATCAAAACTAAAAGGGAGTAGGTAAATAATCACCCATTGGTTGGAGTGCTTAGAATAAGAAAAATTGCCTGTATGGTTAAGTGATCGCTCAAAAACCTTCTACTTTCAAGGCAGCATTGACTGCAACAACTTGCGCCGGCGTTAGTCATGACATGTGACCCTTGAGGCCATATCTGTTGCTATGGTCATAAATAGCCTGTCATATTGTTTTTTATGTTCAAGGGAAATAAGTCAGTCAATATCAGGTTCGTCTTTCGGTAGTAAAACTACTCGGGTTTTGCCTGAATGACACAACTACTGTTTGATGGTCAGGCGTTATACACTATGGCGACCGCAGGGTGAAGGCGCTTCAACTGCCTGTCTCTCCCCCGAAAAAAATATTCTGGCAGAAGAAAAGTCCACTGAAAAGAGTTTCCGATCAAATTACTTATTTTTAAAAACGATTTAATAATTTGACCACGTAAGAAAATTGACAAAGCTTTCTGGAATTGTAAATGACCTTATTACACCGCTATAGTTTATTTAACCTTTTGTTAGAAAAAAAATATTTGTACCAACGTGAAGAGCAGTGAAAAAGGTTCCTTTTCCAATTAAAATAGCACAAGCATAACTGATTCCTGATTAATAAATATAGGAAATCAATACTGACAAAAAATCTATAAGGAGGTACCTCAGGCTTAATCGATCGGATTAAAACCAACCAGTTTTTTATTTTTACATAAAACAGTAAAACTACACTGTTTTTATTTTTGCTTTTTATAAACAAATAAAATTTTTGTAAAGTCAGGGAAGTTGACAATCAAATTTAAATTTTGCTTAAAATGTTGCTAAATACCTTCCTCACTTTTTCCCTGCGTAACACCTTTTATTAAGTTAATTTTAAACCAGAATTAATTTTAAAATGTTTCAGAAAAAAAGCCATTTTATGTGTAATCATGAGTTATGCAGAATTTAAGAGAATTGGGGAAACACGAAGAAAATGAATTCATTTGTACAGTAAATTATTGGAAAAAAATTCAAATAGCTACAGAAAATCCCTTCGATTTTGAAACAACTGCTCCTCAAAATGATTTATTAAACCATTATTTAAGTGGCTGAGATGAAAACTGCTTCAGTTAAAGTTATTCTTCACATTACTTAAACGTATTAACCATTTGAGGCCATAATAAGCGTCTCCACTCAATCCACCCCCGGTTCCACCTCAAGTCTACCCTGTTTTGCTATCTCATCAAGTGTTTATTGCATGTCAGCAACGGCAAAATATCACGACTTTGAGGAATATTGCAAGATAGGAAAGATTGTATACCTCTCCTCTCCAAAATTACGACATGAGGCCCTCTTACGTGTAAATTTTGCGGTTTTCAATAAAAGACTTTCTGTTAGGCCACTAAAAGAAAGACAGAGCCTTCCACCAGATCACTGATTGGCTAATTTTAGCTATTTCTCAGTACAAATTTCTGTCCTCTACCCCTCGAGTTGCGCCGAGAGGGTAGATCTCAACCGCAATCATTTTTGCCTCCATCTAGTGAATGGTTCACAGGAGATACACGCACGAACGCACATAAAACAGACGCATTCTCCTTGGAAAAGGAGTACCACATCACTCTTTACGCTGTCGTCAAACTCTCCATCCCTCCAATTCCAACTTGCTCTGAAGGAGAATTCTTCAAATAATCTACCAAAGTTAGCTCCAAAAACCTTCAACGGATTTTTAACAATCCATTTTTTCCTCCTTTTCTCGACCGCTTTCTGGAAAAAAAGCAAAATGGTTATCTCCACGACGTGCACCTGCATTTTGTCAAGCAAACGCACACTAATGGCGGTAAAAGCATCAGCAGAAGCAGCAAGTAAATTTCCATTCCCTCCCCTTTTTTAACAAGCCAGACACACATGCCCATACACACATACATTTGTTTGCCTTTCTCCCCCTTCGCATCCTCTTTCCTCTTCCAGCCTCATCCCCCATTCAAGTCGAACCGAGTTAGCCGCGTTGCTGTGGCCAGTGTCATTATGCCATGCAAAGATAGCAAGGGGGCGGGGGATAGGGGGAGTACAGACAGCTACAGTTGGGAGTCAGCAAGGATAATTGACTACCCGCTGTAACTGTCCCATGGCAGGTGCAGAGATTTTCAAAACACCAGCCAGCCACATTCTTCGCCCCTCTACACACTAACTTTCGTCGTTTAAACGACTGTGGATGGGTTTTATACATGCGTGGCGTGTCTTAGAGGCACAGAGTGACGTTGCAAGCGCAAAGGACTGGGGTGAGGGGGTGGGAAAGGGCAAAAGGAAACATGACGGGGAAAGGAGGAGGCGGAATGTGTTTCCATCTGCTGATTACTCCTACTCATGTATGCAAGTTCGCCTTTCAGAGGCATTTTGCGAATCACATTAAGGCTATTCATTTATTTTCCAAAAATTCATACAGATGACAACGGCCTACGTTAATGCATTGTCAAAGGAAAAAACAAAGCTGATGATCAAGCGAATGGCAGAGCTTGACACTGATAAAATTTTTCCCGACAGGAGACCAGGAGACCGGTTACGTATCATCTTAGTCTTAAACTGGTGGGGTGAATAATGAAATGGAAGTGCCTGCGGGGGAAAGAAAGTGGTAGATACTTTTTACACTAAAATTATACGTTAGTAAGAGGTGGGAGAGTTTGCCCACCTACTACCATTGCACCGACAGTTCATCGGTTAAAACCAAAAACTACTAAGCAAAGATATACTAACCGTCTAATCCAATAGACTTGCCGATAAAACACAAGTTATAGCAAATAATTCCCATAAGAATCCTCTAATTTTCCTTAGTGACAGTCAAAAGATGCGTCCACTTCCATTCTCACTCACTGGAAACAAAATATAGCTGCCTCCTAAAACTTAAAAGCGGAAATACGTTCTACGGGTGTGCATTTTGCAAAGTATGGGTAATTTTTGTTTAATATCGACCAAACCAAAAGCCCCTTCCACCAAGAAATAATAAACACAAAATCAGCCCTCAAAAACGACTGACATTTTGAAGGCTCACAGTCAATTATCAGAACCAGGGTCTGTCAAACTACCTGTCATGGGAATGTCAACAGCGGCGGAGTGTAAAAACTTGGCCTGTGAGGGACAACACCCATCAGCATGGATAAGACGGATTGTTTGTTTAAATAGTGCTTTAAGGCAAGGCTTTCTAAATACCGCCTAACTAAAATGAGCCTAATGTTTCAGGTAGGCTGTAGATTAAGCTATTGCTAGTGTGGTTTATTTAGTTCTGCAGGACTTCAAAATTCCTAGAATTTCAGAAAAATCCGTTGGATTTTAACTCTCAATCTTCATTGCGCCTTTAGAAAGTGCCTAATCTACAAAGCCAAAATGCACCCTGGATCAACTGTGACGATTTTCTGAACGATTTAAATAATCAGTCTTACCGTTCGCATTCGATTCGAGCTTCAAGAAGCCGCGTTTCCAGTAGTTCTTGCTCCTCCCTCTTCTTTCGGTCAATTGACTCCAATTGGTTGCGAGAGCAGATGCACTATATATTGATGCTACTGATTACAATTAAGTAAACACGGCTGCATAAGTCACGAGCCAAGCATTCTACATGGCAAGCTTGTGAATTACTTAAAGTGAAAAAAGAATGTCAACAAGCCATTTATTTTACCTTAATTTTCATTTTTTCAACCTTTGTCGAAATGGTCTCAAAAAGCTCCATGACTGTCTTTGTGACGGACTGGAATTCCTCGGTCTCTTTTAAAGACGAATATTATTCAGTAAACTTACATTTTATCAGCACAAATAGACCTAGCTTATAGCTTCGTTCGAAATTATTATGTATTCATATCGTAAGAAGAAAGAAAGAATGTGTGCCGTCTACTTCTTAAAAGTCTATGCACAAGCAATAAAGCAGCACAATCAATTCTTGAAGGTTATATGATTCGAACACAGAATTGATATGTAAATTAAGGAAATTCTAGGCATCCCACAAGTAACCGCATGTTCCGAAAATCCGCACTAAAAAACTCCAAACGAGCAAAAGCAATCCACAAAAAATTACAGGTAGTTTTCCACAACATCTGTAAAGTTAGGCACTCATCTCAAATCCTATCACAACCTTTTCACCACTCCCATATTTTCAAAAATACTGTTCACTTGTCTAAAGAGCTTAACTAAAGACCAAAATAACAACACAGATACATCAACAGTACATATTTCTGAAGTTGAGTAGCCTATCACAAGCGCTGAAAACAAACTGGCTAAAGTAACGAAGCAATATTTGATTACTGTTTATAAAACCAGCGCATTCTTCTTTGAAATCTGCAGTGGCTTGCGTTATTGATGGGTCTAGTATCCGTAGCTTGTTGAAATCATCGACATAAAGCCCAGCTTTTGCTAGATTTGCAGCCATTTCAAAAGAGCCCAGTTTACTTTCAGGCTATAACACTGATAATGTAAAACAAAACCCCAAACTTGGTAACCTAAAAAAAGGCTTGAATTTTGCAAAGCTAGCTTTTTTTAATAGTACTTAAAATTTTATTGAGCTGCTTAAAGTTTCTAGTCAAATTTTCAGCATGACACTTTCGCGTATTTCGATTAGTGAATTCCGTAAAATACCAAATTATCTTATTGATGATATGAAGAATTGCCTGCTTAGTAATCCCCGTTGCAGACAAAGAGGTTTTTTAAGTTGTGGGTTTAATTTGCAACTTTTTTAAAAATAATTCATGCCTATTTTTCCCTCGTTTCCACGATTGCCTTTTTGAGCCAGTTTAATAAAGCACGTGAAAGTTTTGACTCTTATCTGAAAGTTTTTGTCTTTTTAGATCATTGGTGTCATTAATGAACCGACTTTCTAGACCGTACGAGTGAGCTTTGCCTTTTGTATAAATGAGTAAATCGCCCATACATTTTAGATGTTACTTAGTTCCCGTAAGGGCATTGCAGTGCTTTGTGACCCTCCAAAAGAAGATTGACGACATTATACTCGGGCGGTATACGTATCTTCGACGTAGAGCAGGGCTTGGACCTGTGACATTACCCTTAGGCCAGGTCGTCTTGCGGGGTGCCTAAGTGCTCCACCATTAAAACTGAGAGGTCAACAACATTTAGCACATTACAAGTCTAACTAATATAAGTTTTGACCAAAAATCACTAAACTGGAATGCTTAAGCATTGTATTTCTATTCAACGCTTTTTCTCTTAAGAAATCCAGTGTGAAATGTGTTGACTTTTAATGCTGCATACGGTTAATCCGCAGCTATATCGGATTCCACCAATGCACTTTTTTTCCACTCCTCGTTTTTAAATTAGCTGTAAATCACCACGTAAAAAAGTTTTGTTGTATAGCCTTAACGTTGCTTAGCAATCCCGTTCCTTTTGCTATCTTTGCATGCCAGATACCTCTAAAGAGTATTCACCTGAGGAGGGAGTTATATGTAAACTACCTGAACGGAAGTGATTAAAAGACTTGGCATGCAACCTTCAACCAACCACGAATTACAACCATTAATTTTATACGACTGTTGGACTGACTGCATAGGTGAACAAAATAAACAAGTGAAATTCAGCTATAGTAGAGTTTCATATACCCACTATTATCGTAAATGCAGAACGTTATTTAAAGATGGTTGGATGGTTGATGGGTAAGAAGGCATCACCACTAAAAAAATCAACTTTTACGAAAGGAGTTTAATAGTTAGGATTAAGGAAATTATTAAGTGGTGCCTCCTCAACTCCCCTAGTAAGCTGATTTGGATCCAGGTATGAGGCAGTGCTGTTTTGCCACGGGAACAAAGTTAAAAGAAAGCAGAGCACTACCTGTGGGAATCCTCTCACCTCGCCTATTTCATAGGTTGGCCCTAGATTTGGGTAAATGGTCTTGGAAACTGCACCTGATGCATGGTTGGCACTCTCTGTACCTCATCATCCTGTCACTTTGAACAATTCAAAGCCATCGCGTCTCAGTAAGGCAGTTCACGAGGTGGACAAAACTGTCCGTACTTCTGAACTGATGAGGCTCACAGAGATCAGGTGTCATTTTTATCCAGAAAATCGCCTCTTCGATGATTACTGACTATTCTTCAATAATTTTGCAGAAAAACTGAAATATTCAAATATACAGCATTAATACACAATTTTTTGCACGAGAGAAGTGGAAAATTGACACAGAATATTGGACAATTAATTCCGTATTTTGATTTCTGAAGCAGTTAAAATGAAAATCACTTCAAGGGGGAGGACATCTGCCAGAACCACAGAGAAGATCGGATTGGCAAGCTAATCCAAGTGCTTTAATCCCTGTTCTAGGAATCACAGCCAATGACGCATTGCGATGTGAGGTTAAAGAGGCAGTCGAAAGACCCTTGGATGGAAGTCACAAGAACTCGGCAAAGATTTTGATCACTGTCTTAAGAACAAGAGGAATTTATCATCGAAGAAGGAGAACTGGGAGTTCTCCCACCGTCATTCACTTGGAGGTGGAAACGCTCCATATTTCCATCCCCAATCAGATGTGTCCACCCCTGAAGCTTATCTTATATTTTAAAAACTGGTTCAAGAAAGCTGCAGCTAGTCAGAGACGGTGTGACAACGGCATACCACAAAAGGCAAGCACTTTGACTTACCTTCATCACAAGCAGTTCTTGCAAACTGTCAATTGTGAAGTGAATACATCCAATCCATCTCGACTGATTTGCAGTTGAGGATGTAGCCTTTTCTCGAAAAGTTGAGACCCTACAAAGAACACATCCTAACGCTTAGCAGCTGAGTTGACAACCATTCGGTATTAATGACCAAGGAGAGCTCCTATCATACCATCTGAAGCCGTTTACGACATCAGTATTCAGGCTGGAAGGAATTTGCTATACTTTCAACCCTCAGCCTCTGTACTTGACCTCGTCGCAGAGGGAGTCTCACCCATTATCATCCCTTGTACCTTCCTCACATCTGCTCACATCACCGTCGCGTTCTCCTCGCTCTGCCAACAGAGAAGGAAGCGCATACTGACACTCACAATGCACATCGTATTGTGTGGCATTTCCTGATTCTGACAGGCCTCTTAATACCACTTCTCACTACCATTTGATGCGATTCGTGGAGCAAATATCGAGGCAGAGCAGTTGGCAATAAAAAGGACGTCTACGTCCCCGTGAGGAGATGAGCCTCTGTCTAATGGTAGAACACGCATGGTAGATGCTGGACCATCTACTGTCTCCCCGCCCCCGTGTGTGGCTTTAGAGGGAAACGACTTTGACAAGAGAGAAGGGAAAGTTAAAGGCGATAAGCAGGTAGGCGATTTCGCTAAACAAGTCAAGTGGATTCAAAAAATGCGGAAACCCAGGAGATTAAACCCAGACAGGCACTTCGGAGAACCACCTATCTGGCACCAGACCTGATTGTACCCTTCAACATGAGTAAGTGAATGAGCCTTACCGCCTCTCTGCTTTGCCGAATCGTCCTCATTGCAACTTTCTCGAATGTGGTGGAACATTTTTGGCCAAACCGCAAATGGCGCTTAATCTTGAGGCTTTCAGGTGGAATGGGTAAATGCTCTCGTAGCGAAACGTGTCAAGCGCTCACCACTATAATCTAGCAGTTGGCCCACCTGTCTTGCTGACGACGATTCTCCATTGTCAGCCTCAGTATGTGTCTTCCATCA